GCCGCCAGGCGGGTCCCGGGAAGAGGCGGAGGGCTGGTGGCATCGGGTGGCTGGCTCATGGCCTGCCAGGTGCAGGGTCTGCTGGCTGGGTGCTGGCAGGCTTGCAACTGGCACAAACTGTGTAGCCAGCCCGTGCCCCTTTAAGGGCTTTGGGGCCAGGAGGGGGGCAGACAAGTTTCCCTGGTGGTGCCCAGAGTGGCCACCAGGGTAAGCTGGGGAGGGCTAGCCTCCCACTAGTTCAAATTAAGTGGCTACACAGCCCTTAATTCGAACTAGCTTATTCGAACTAGGCGTTAGTCCTCGTGGAATGAGGTTTACCTAGTTCGAATTAAGCACTCCGCTAATTCGAATTAAGTTCGAACTAGCGGAGCGCCAGTGTAGCGCCTATCAAAGTTAATTCGAACTAACATCTGTTAGTTCGAATTAACTTTGTAGTGTAGACATACCCTGAGATCTCAGGGAATCCACTCGTTTAGGAGCATGAACTATATGCTTTTCCTGCAGAGATGGGGCTGGATGAATTCACAGTCAACTTGCAACATTTCCTGTACCCTGTGTGTGTAGGAGTAGTAAATATAAACCTGCTGACATGACAATTGCATGCAAATTTTTACTCAAGCATATTAAAAGGAAAATGCATCCCTCCCCCCACACTATTCAGTGCAACTGAAATAGAGTGTATGCACATGATTCACTACTGGTAATCTGGTTATGTTCCTTGCATACCTTATTGTTTTATTAAAACCACTAGACATGCCTGTAATGAAATATCACAGGGCTAAAACAATTAAAGGTACAGATACAGCAACCAAAAAAGGTCTGAAATGGTTTTCTCTCTACTATGGTCACAAATATTTACAAAACTACACAAATTAGTAGGCAGACGGCACATACCTGAAACAATAAATATTTCACTTCTCAGCAAGAGAGAACCCTGCAAGTCAGATGGTCTTCGGCAATAGAGATGCCATAAAATAGCATAGGACCTTTCTACTCTTTTCACAGCAATCACATTTATGCATCATTTATAGCAAAATCCACATGTATGATCCAATATCCGTTTTGGCCACAAAGTAAAAAAAGTCCACATGCACAAAAAATTATGTTCACATATCTGGTGAAAGTGACCCATCTGACCTATCTTTTTATGTAGACTCCAGGTTAGACTTTTGCCCTGCACATATTTGATCTTCATTCAGTGTTCTCTTCTGACAATAGCTCAAGTACAGAGAGCAACTCTACAGTCACACAGCAGACACCTTGGGTAGCAGGAACTAGTCTGATAGCATGATTTTTTTTTAAAACAGTTTATAGTACTGGGCAAAACTTTTAAAAATGGTTATTTAAAGTTAGGCTCATAAACTGGTATTTCACTACCTAAATCAAAGATGCCTGATTTTCAAAGAGATCCACAACTCCCACTAAAATCAATATTAGGCTTCCCAAAGTCTGAACATTTTGACCAGGTTTTCTACTTAGAATAAGCAAAACTCAAGGTACTTCAGAATGGTTTGATACAGCACCAACAAAGCCATGCTGGACTAAAAGAATCTGTTGCCTTTCTCCCATTAAAGAAAAACAAAAGTTCTGTATCAAAACAAAATCTTTATAGTACACTTGAACCTCTTTGATCTGGCATATTCTGGGCAACAGGGTAAACCAGATTAAAGATTTTGCTGCGCCAGGGAGGGGTCTGAGTGTGAGGGGGTGGGATGCTTACCTGTCTCCCTGCTCCCAGGGCATATGTTGCTCCATGTCCTCCACCGCTATGGGACTAGCAGGGAAAAATCTCACGGGAAGCAGCTCTAGGTACTGCCATTGTCCAGCTGGGAGCAGAGCGAGTGGCAGTACACAGAGCTACTTCCTCCTCTGTACCATGAATTAGGGACACCTGAAGTACGGAGGTTTAAATGTATTAGGTTAAATCTACACTGCCATTTTACTGCACTGTGACTTTCTGGCTTGAGGGCGTGAAAAACACTCTTCCTCCAAGTGGAGCAAGTTACAGTGCTGTTAAGCACCAGTGTAAATGGGCTCCCAACACTTTTAGGTACTCCTCTGGTGGAGATGGTTTATATAGAGCTACAAAGTGCCAATGTAAATGGCCTCTTATGGAGATGGTTTACATTGAGCTGGGAGAGCTCTCTTTCAGCATTCGTACCATGGCCTTGCTTTCATTTTAAAGCGCTGCCACAGGTATGCTTTAATTTTAGAAGTGAAGACAAAGCCTTAAAAGTGGAATTTAAGGTGATCTAGATTCCAACCTGCTCAACTACAACAGCACCAGTAAATTAAAATGGTTTATTTAACTAGGGGAAATATTTCATCATGGACAAACCATGTCAATCTTATTTTGCCATGATCAAAAGTACATTAAACAAAGAAAATAATATATGTCCTATAACCTAGGGGAGCGGTGTCCTAGAAAGAAGAAAAACAATTGAAATCTCTTTAAAAAGTGACGTCAAGTAATCGACATCTTCATAAAAACCTTCAAAGAAAGAGCATGCTCCTGAGAAAAGCATGTTTCATGCTTTTCTTTCATCCCCTGCACTAGAAGTAGCAATAAACCTTTATGTATTGAAAGAAGAAACTGGTACAATGTGGAACAAATATGTAGCAACAAATGCAAGGCAAATGCATCAGGATCTCCTCAGTTAGTAAAATCCTAACAGAGAAGTAAAGAAACTGGACAGACAGTAGACAATACTGAGGCAAAAGAAATGCTGCATATGCACGCAGTATATTTAAATTCAGTACAGCATCCTTTTGCTTCCATTAAAGAAAGTTTTATTTGGATATCTGGCTTTCCTGTAAGCTTTGTAATGCAAAGGAAACAAAAGCACTGACCACAATTAGATCCATTAGGAAAGAACAGATAACATAACGTGTTATGGTTTGGGCATCACTAGTTATGTTTTCAGCTCCTATCATCCCAACCTACTGTTTATTTGGGGTCACAATGTCAACAAGCAACACTATCCAAAATGAATGCTACCCAAATCAAGTGATGCCTCATGCTAATACAAATGTATTTGTAGATTTCTGCCCATTGGTGACTCACAGAAATAAGTATCAGTAAGATGATAAGTATCATCAAAATTTCTTTATTATTTCCAGAATGAAAAAACATATCCCATCAGGTAATGTGATACACAAAACTTGTAAGCACATTATGGAAACTGCAGTAAGTAACCAATGTTTTTGCAAAAACAACAAGGAGTCCTGTGACACTTTGAAGTGTCCACTCTGTGCATATGAAGAAGTGTTTTTTACCCATGAAAGCTTACGCCTAGTTGCCACCGGACTGTTAGTCGTTTTTGCACTTACAGACTAATATGGCTACCCCCTGAGACTTGTCACAATGTTTTTGCTACTGTCAAATATCAAATGACTTAATTAGGCACAGACGGTCATGGCATAGATAGGTAGGCAGTTTTATAAGAAATTGTAAAAATTATCAAAACTATCTTATATGAATGCCCAATGATTACTCTTCTCCAAATGGAAAATAAATCTGACTCTTTAATACTATAGTCTTAAAATGAATGCTTCAATAGGTAATTTGAATGGGACATACTTTTGCTTTTAGTGCTTTGTTACCTTCAGGAAAGGTAAAATAAAAATTACACCCTATGGCGTTACAGGATACAAAACAGACATTATGTCTGAGAATATTAATTTTGGGATATCCAATTAGTTATACTGTTCTTGTACATTATCTGTGATTTGCACACTATATAGGAAAGGAAATTGCAAACAGTGATATGTTTAAAATAGTAATTTATTATACTATATTATCTTTCAATATCCAATTCTGAGTTCCCCCATCAGACCAAATTTGCATGCAAATCAGAGTTTACCTGAGGATCAAAATACTGAAATAGCCATGTAACAAACTGAGCTATGCGGGTGGGGTTTCTTTCTTTCTCTCTCACGCATAGGCAGGCACACTTTCACAGCTAAAATCACCAAGACATGTTTCTACATTTCATACATTTATTTGGCAAGGTACCAGCAGTGACCTTCAAAATTTAAGTATTGGGTCAAAATCTGCTCCCAATGTGGCCAGTCTGATGGGCAAAAAAGAGTGCAATTGTCAATCATATTAGCTTGGTCCAATTGAAAAGTTCGTTTAACTCTTAGTGCAGCACAGGCTAACGCTTTTGAGACAAGGTTTCAGCCTAGACTAGTTAATTTTGTCCTAACTTGGATTTAAAGGTGTGATGTTAACACATTAAACTAACATGCTAGCTAACATACTGGGGAAGTCTAGTGTGGATAAGACACTAGGTCTCCTGTGCTAAATTATTCAAGTTATAGCTTACACTCTCCAAACATAGTTAGCACGTTAGATTAAACTTACTAGCATCACACTGAAGCCTTGTGTAAACTAGGAACTAAAGTGTCATATTATTCTTAAAGATTAGTAATGGATGCAACTTAATAGCAAAATTTGGCCAGTTATCTTTAATTAAGAACTGAGTTGATATTAGCAATCATTCTTAAGTGAGATCCACATTCAAATTTCACTACAGTAAAATTCAGCAGGCGGGGAAGAAAGGACTACCAATGCAGATATCTAGTTAGTTAGCCACCAAATATAAACAATAAAAATCTTTAGTATTTGCTTTTTAGTACACATGCGCTAGAAAAATGTACAATTTTGATTTGTCAAACAACGCGGGCACATTCCAATTTGAACTTTAGTACCATGCACTCAAGTATACTTTTAAATACATATATATTTAAAATAAATATATAGGTAAGTCAATAAGAAGAATTCAATATCCATATTACCAAGTTCATTAATACAAGGTAACAAATTTGAGTTCTTTTGTGCTAGGAATTGTATTTTTTTTCCCAAACATGATCTCACGGGTAAAATCTTCAAACAATTGTGCTATTTAAATATGGTTACTTTTAAGAAGTATCGATACAAGATTTACACATGCTACCTTTAGTGTAGGCTTGACCCATTTCAAGAAGTGGAGGAAGTGAATATAGGAACACATGAAGGGTCAGCCAGCCATTTGATATCTAAATGCTCTGTTTCTAAATAAATTCATTTGATCAGCAGCCAGTTGATAAATATGGTAAGAATTGTATTAAAAAACCTACTCACAACATTTGTGCACTCTTGAAAGAATTCTTATGCTATGCAAGCATTTACCTGACTACTAATCCCTCTCACATACTTGTCTTTTCACACCCCAGTCAGTCAGTCACTTGGTGCTGAAAAAATAAAGAAATCTAGCTTGCTTTTTCACACTGGAAAAAGAAAAAGGCTTGTGCATCAAACCAGTTAGGGCTTGCGCCTTCTAATTTCACTTGACAGTTGATAACCAGTGCATGTGCATTTCCACATATTTGTTTTCTCCACTGCAAACCCATGGAAAGTATCCCAATTGTAAGAACAGAAGAGTTAAAAGTAATGGGTAAAAATCTGCAACTTACTGTAGCCCTAAGTTTCAACTTGTAGTAAGTATGTTCTTAATTTATTAATTTTAACCTTGGTTTTGGTTAAAGAGGATTTGAGAGAAGGCTGTATGATTTCTTAAATGCCAACCTAAAAATCACATGTATTTAATGTATAAAAACTAAGATCCTAGACTTGGAGAGGCATGCTCAGAACAGGAAACGGTAGTTTGTTAATAAAGAAAGGTAAATCATTTTCTAAACTTTCAGTGGCAAACTTGGCAGTGAAAGAATTTTCATCTCAAGGGAAGGTAACTGCTACAAGTGAGAAATCAACTAAGCAACTTTCTTAAAAGTGAGGCAAATATTTGACTGCTTTCAGATGGGTCACTCCCTGTAGCATACTCTTCTTCTTTTAACTAATCATATTAACTGTCCATTATTCTCCCCTGAGTATTGAACCTGTGCAAACCAAACCTTTTTGTGAACTAGTATTACTTATTTCCCATTTAAAGCAGAAAAGCTTATCACTTAACAGGACAGATCAGTTTTCAGTGTTGATTATTCCTAAGTCTGGAATGAGTTCATGCATTTTCCTATGTTCATTTTCCCTGTTATACTATGCAAATAGCATTAGTATTTGTACTCTTTCTGTAAGAGTAAGAAAACTGGATTAGTCAAGTTAACACTTAAAGTTTTCATCTTCATTAACTTAAAGTTCTTGAATCAACTGATTCTTAGCCACACTGAACAAATTTCTTTGAACTTTCCCCTTTAAAACAAGCACGCACCTCAGATCAGATTTTCCAGTTCAGAGCAATGAAGGGGGGGAAAAAATGACAAGCAGCCGAGTTTAATTTCAAACGTTAATATATTTTCTATTTTATAGTGAACATATGCATCTGTCACCCCTCATTTGCAGCAACTATGACGTCCTCATAAGAAGGGGTGACATTTGTAAGATGCCTCTTAAAATAAATATTTCTTTTTTATAAAATAATAAAACTTCAAATAAATATTCTTTACACTAAACAATATGTTGAAAAAAATTAGAAAATAGAGGCTGAATTTTACGGAAACTGTACAATATACATGAAGTCCAAAGGGAAATCAGAGGCTTGTAATAGAGAGTTTCCGTCAGGCAAAAAATACAATCTAAAAACATACTGATTGATTCACATTCTTCCGAATGTACAACATATTAGTATAATATTTTGTGACTGTGCCATGTTCTATGACACCATTTGTTTTTCACAGTTGAAAATATTATCGTATATACAAAAATATAGCACATTATCTCTGGCAGAAAACAATAAAAAGGAGTCATTTGCTAATTTACAAATTTTGCAAGTACTATTCACAAAACAATAGTCACCTAGGAGTGTCTGTGTTGCTTTAGCTTATGCAATATTGGGTCACAAAGTACGGCATCCCATATTTGAGCTCCATTAGCTGGGTTCTAACAAGCATATCAGTTAAGATGGCACACATGCAGAAAAGCAGTTCACTGCAAACAGCAAAATATACCCCCAGCTCTTTTACTAACAGTGCCAAGGTTATAGCTGTTTAGTTGGTTGCATATGTGAGTTAAAAGAATCCTTATTACTTTAATACTCCCGAATTAGTGATGCTATGTTGGCTTTTCTAAGTTCCTGGGGGGAATACTGGGAACTTTGCAGCAAACTGTGTTTGAGTGTTTACAGCGGCATCCAGGTCTATTTACCCGGTCATAACACCCCTGGCACAATTTAAGGCAACCCTTGGCTGGTAGATAACACCACAAGCAAGGCAAAATGAGGGACACAACACCCATGGCAGACCATCGAGTGCAGCAATGTGACTGACTGCAAGAGCATGGGTTGTCAGCACAGTTGTCCTCATCATCATTAGAGCAGTGATAGAAGAGGCCTTTCACACAGCAAACACAAGTCCCATAATCAACCACGTTCTGGGCTGAGCAAAGACACTGCTTTTCACAGATCCAACAGGATGGCAGGGTCCTTGGATAAGTGCACTCCTTACACTTACATTTTCCACAGTCCTCACACCTGTAGGCATGCATGCCCAAGTCTTCTTTGCTCAGGGGCTTCAGCTCACTTGACTTGAACTCTGACTTGGGCTGCACCCTGATTATCCCATCAGCAACTGGCCCTGAAGGTGACCCTAAAAGTCTCTGTTCAGACGAATTGCTGCTTGTACTTGTCCTTGTACTGCTCCGTGAACCTGTACTGACCGTACTGATGGAACGGGACAGAGGTGCCCGGGAGGAAGTGTGAACTTGTACATGCTGGACCCTGGTAAGATGACGATGTTCAGGCAAGCCAGGTGGTCTTTCGTTTTTGTGCTGGCTAGCTGGACGAGGGGTAGGTTTAACCCCTGGTCGCGGAGCCACTGTAGGTCCCTCTGTGTATTCATTTGTATTTCGGATGGCTCTGATCTGGTCCAGTGACAACACGTGAACCTGCTGGGTCAGAACATCTCTCAGGTCAGATTCTCCCTGCTGCCTCCCACTGTCACGGTGAACCTGTAGCAAAGACTGGGACCCACTGCCATTCTGACCTCTTGTCTCCATCAGTATCCTGAAGAGTGGTCACTCCAGCAGGCTTAGAACACATCTGAAATCCTGTAGTAACAAAGAGAAGATTCATTATTGTGTCACATTGTACATTTGCAAATTGTCTATCCTCCTGAAAGATCCCAGAGCATTTTACTAATTAAATAAGTATGCCACCCTTAGAATGGAACCACATCTGAGGTGGAGGGTAGGAGGCAGACTGGGTAACTCTGTACCTGTCTGGTTTTGCTAAAGAGTAACTTTTAACCAACACATTCAGGGATACATTTCTGCAGCCATATACAATATAGATTTATTTAGGTTTTTAAGAACTCATCATAAAGCTCTACATCCAGTAAACTGCACAGAACTCAGTTTACCTAAAACACAAGAAGAGAAGGTTTTGCTGACCCTAGCAGGACTTTACTCTGTGATTCCAGGAAATTTATGTATTTAAAACCTGATGCTGAGACCTCCAGGTCATCCTTTGGCTAGATCATGTATTTTAATACGGCCACTTAAAATGACTGTTCCTTTCACTTAACACTATATTTCACACAAAGAATACCAACAAATATTTTAGAAAGAGAAATGTGACCTGCTGATGGCAGACATTAAATTCTTCAACTTTATTTAAAACTGGGCAATATTCTGGTAGGCTAGTCTCTTTACACACTAAACTTAACATGATGTAAATAGGAAACTGTAGTTTAATACCAGTGGTCCCAAGAAAAACACTAAACAGCAATAAAATATTTGAGGTTAGACTGAGTGAATTAGCACTTCCAAAAATTTCAACAACAGAAGTAAAAAATCTCTTTCCAAGATTGTCAAGTGTACTTTACACTTGTGTACTTCATGTCAGTTAATTTATTTCTTATTAAATACCACTGCAGAATAGTTTTTACACTTTATCTATAAGATTGTAATTCAAATATTTTTGGCATGACCCAGAAATATAAAGTCATTTATGGAACAGAAATATGCAGATACAAGCTAACCACTACAATCCAAGAAGACTATTTGATTAAAGTTATTTATCTAAGAAAAGAAGAATGGAAGTTACTTAAGAACTTCAAGTGGAAACCCGATGAAACCTGCATCACAAGCTTATAATATACCGATCTTGAGTACCATGGTTAATAAATCTGCAGATCAGAATTTACCAGTCTGTCTATCATTCTTTAATGGATAAAGTAGACACAAAATTAAATTAGCTACATAAAAGTCCAAAGCAATTTGTTTTAAACTTAGAAACAAATATGAATCCTTGTTTCTTGCAAGGGCCACACAATGTCTTCAATTATATCTAGAAAGGGCACCATAGTAACATCACTTACCAACAATAAATAATACTACACCACAGTATTATAAAATATACCCAAACAGACACTTCAACAGTGAACATCTCCACATGCTGTCTTTATTTTAAAACCAAAAGAAAACATTTAACTTTTTAACTGCTGGTTACTTTTTGAGCCAAAATAAGTACTCTCTCTATTTTATTTCATTCTGCAAACTGATCCTTTTTCAAAAAGACAAAATGTATGTGTTCATTATTGTAAAATCCTCGCTTTCACCTAGCATGTATGGTAGAAATCATGATTCTCAGCAAAAGCGAGCTTCCAAACACATCTTAAATCCTTGTGTTTACTTCAAATTAAAACCCTTGCCTAGAGAAAAGTTTACAACCAATGCCCAGCACCCACATGCCCTTATTAGAAACTATTTACAGATAAAGTTAAATAGTGGTTCCCCTTGCCTAGAGAGGAATTTCCAATATCACACATCTTTCTTCTTTCTAGATTCCAACTATATTCAAAGAGCAAAACAGATGTTTTTGCCTCTGCAGTATTGTTGATCCTGTCTAAAAGTTCGACTGACCCCGAGGGAAAGTTTCTGCAAAAGTACCTTGGAAACTGAACTCCTTCAAATAGCAAGGTAAAAGCTGCAGAAGAAAACTCTGCTCTTTTCTTCCTTTCCTTTTATAGGCGTCATCTTTGCTCAGAACAAGGCGCTCAGCTGGTGGGACACAGCAATACCTTCATTCTCTTAGGACAGGCTGATATTGCAAGTGAATTAAGCTGTCTCACAAATGCAGACAACCTGCAGATAAACAGGAGACATCCTCTGGGGTGGAGGAGGGAAGTGGCTTCTAAAGTTGCCTTATCAGGAAAGTCAAGCCCATGCTTCCTTTTTAACTATTGTGCATCCACTCCCCACCCCCAGGAAGGAGATGCCGGAGGCGTCTGAGTTATATAAACCTTCCAGTTCCTACGAAACTTCTCATTTGAGAGAACACCTCCAGAGTAGCTTAGTAAATTGCAGGTTTCCCCTTCAAGCACCAGCTCCAACTGGAGGGAGTCAGCTGCAGGAAACTTCGCCAGGGCAGCTACTATTTTGCTTATTGTATGCAATTTGCGTAAATTTCAACCAGATCCCCAGATGAGGGATTACAAAGTGGCCCCCCTCTGTATTTGTATCATAACAAACAAGCCCTTGAGTTTTATTGCACTGCACAGATCCGTTAACAGGGCAAGATGCAGACCTGCAGCACTTAAGACTCTTATTTCAAAAACAACGAGGAGTCCCTGTGGCACCTTAAAGACTGGGCGTAAGATTTCATGGGTAAAAACCACTCTAAAGCTTATGCCCCAATAAATCTGGTAGTTTTTAAGGTGCCACGGGACGCCTTTTTGCGGACACAGACTAACATTCTGAGACTCTCCTTTCACGTATGTTTTGCCTGTAGTTCTTTCAGGGAAACAAGACTTTCCCGTCTAATCTCAATGCTCCCCTCCCTCCTTCCCACCCACCCTCTTTTTTTCCACCTACCGAATAAGAGCATAGCAAGAGAAACATTTGCTCCTTTTTTTCCCCCTTGAGATAACGCGATTCACCACTTGCAAAAGCCGAAGTCCACTCAGAGCAGAAATGCCCTGATTTGCTAACTCGGACTGGGGAAAGGGGTTGGCTTTTCTCCTCTGCACGCTTGGGGAAGTTTAAAACGCAAAGTGCTCCCTGTGTGCTGTGGAAAAACCCAGGTCGTGTTGGCTGGGAGAAGAAGGGAAGCCTAAGGGGGAAAAAGTTCTCTGCCCATGAATTTCAGTTTTGCGTCGGAAGCCTTCGCAGCACACCCCCACCGCACACGCACCAACCACCTCCTCCTCTTTGAAAGTGCTTTGAAACCCCCATGAAGGGCTGAGTGTGTGATCAGATTATGGATTAGGGCAAAAGGGACTTCTCCATCGGGGTGGGGCAAATTGACACACACATAGCTTGCTGCAAACCCCAGCAGCTTGCGGAGGCTATTGCAAAGTAAATTTTAAACCTTTCTTTGCCTTGCCTCCTCTCATATTGCTTCATACCTGCACACCATATATTGAAACCTGGGGAGGATCTCCTCCCTGTCAGATCGACAATCTATTTAATTGTATCGCATGGAAAACATTTATAGCAGGCGTGAGGTCACTTCCGAATTGCACAAATCTCCCCATGCACTTACAGAATAATGCCAGCCTTTAATGTACACAGAGATAGCAAGTCACCAAGCAGGTTAAAGTCTATAAAATATCCCCCCCATCATGCTGTTCCCTCCCTCCCCCCAAAAAACCCTATGTAATGCTTTGAGCCAGGATTTACCAGGACTTCCCCGTCTCCACCTTACAGGAGCATGTTGCAGCAATTGTAAGAAAATATAAGTATGCAAAGAAGTCACACGAGTTGCTTCCAGTGCTTGCAATATTTCGCAGACATTGCTCCCTGCAAATGCACAAACCTGAGCACAGATTTCCGGCCCCTAAGCTCTCACCCACTCCCCAATGGCGCGGAGCTGGGGGGCCCCCTCCCTGCAAAATCATTTTGAGGGAAAACAAACGTGATCAATCCTGAGAAACTATCCCATGCTCCCTCCCCCCCGCCAAACTTCCCTAAGAAAGAAATCTCGCTGAAATTCCACTTCCAAATCCTGGGGAAGGGCGTGAGGGGCCGGGTTCAGGGACTGAAAAGGGATCGGCCTTAAATATACATTTCCACCAGCTCTTCGGACTATTAAAAAAAAAGACTTGTTTTGCAAAGAAGGAAAATGTTCTCACCGTGATCGCGGCACTGTACCAAGCCCCTCGCTCTCTCTCGTGTTTTCTTCTTCCTGCAGCTTGCAAGTAAATCCAGCCTAAAGCAAAAACAAACAAAAAAACTTTTCCAAGCTCAGCTTTAGTCCATCATCACCATCCTCTCAAAAATCCAGAGCAAAGTGAGCTCTCTGTCCCCAGGTCGATTATAAGTATAAACCTCTGGGAAATGTCTCCAGGTCGGAGGGGTATTTCTTAGCCCCTAAAAAGAAGAAATCACTCATTCGCTATTTCCTCTTTTTTTCCCCCTCCTCAATGGACAGGAGGCCGAATCGCCAGTACCAAGTCACTTTCCTTGTTGTTGCAAATGATCACGGGGCGGGCGGGAAAGGAAAAGCCAAAGCAACCAAAATAAAGTGGATCTAAAAGAAAATCCCAAAGCTTTCGTCCACTGGGCTCCTCCAGGAAAGCAGCCTGTGCAATGTAGCCGTTCTGCAGGGCAGCTGCTGGCTGCAAGCGCCCCTCTCTAGCTTGCTCGCTCGCTCACTCTGGGAGCGTGAGTCTTGCAGGCAGCGCTGGGGTTTGTAATGGGGAGGGGGGTGTTTTGGGAGGGCAGCGGGTCTGTGGTGGTGCCTGTTGTGGTGTGTTGGGAGGAGGAGGAGGAGGCAGATTTGAGATCTGAGCGGCAGGGGCTTGGCGTTTTTCTGCTCGCTCACGCTCCCTCTCTCTCTCTCTTTTCCTTTCCGGAGGAGGCAGGGTGAGCGCTCGGCAAAGGCAGCAGTAAATGGCGTCATGTGGATCTGAGGAGGAACAGAGCAGTTGTTGTCCCAGAGGATATATCGCATCCGGTCCCAGCTCATTGGCTCTGCGGGGCTACATTCACTCACACTCCCAGCGCCCTGCCAGCACTCGGAGCCGCAGGAGGCATTCAAAAGGGCAACGGCACCGAGCGAGCCAGAGGGGGAGGCGGCCGGCCGGCTTGCCCTGCAACTGCGAGCAGCGCGGCTGCTGCTCGATTACTGTTACAATTGCTATTCCTGCGGCTGCTGTTGCTGCAGCCGCCGCCGGCCCGGCCTCCCCACACTGCTCCCTAGCGCCGCAGCAGCTCCCTCCCAGAGCCGCCGGGCCACTGAGCTTGCTAAGGGGGCTCCTCCGTGCACAGGAACACACCGCCTCGTACGTGCGAGACACTCGGGCGGGCCAAACAAAAGGCTGCGTGGGACCCTCGGGCGAGCGGGCTGGTTACCCTGGATTGAAGTGAAACCCTTTGGGGTTGAGATTGAAAAGCAAATGGAAAACTTTCCGCGGTTGTATTTTTTGTAGTAGAAGTTTGAACAGTCCCCCCGCATTCGCACAGTCGTTCGTGCAGTCGGCGCGGGATGTCTGACTTTGGGTACGGGTTGCTGCGTTAAACATGAGCAGACACCTTGTTCTAGCCGTAGCTACCCCTTCTCTCCCTCCTCCCTCAAATTAGCAGCCGCGATAGGAAGGGGAACGCGGTGTACCTGAGACAGCAGCTCTCTGCTCAGGACATGCTTGTCCCCTACACAATGGAATGAGTGGCACTCTGTGTTTTCTGTCCAGGGATCAGCACGCTGCACGAAGGTGTAATAATAATAATAAGGTGCTAAAACCCAACAACAGATGGGGGGGGGGGAGAAAGAGAACACCCAGTCTCATTGCTAGGACTGTGTGGATAGACCCCGTCAGCCCTGTGACGGTCAGAATTGGGGCCCCCAGGTACTCCAGTCCTCCTGCGGTCTCCAGGTGGGGCTGTAGCACACACAATCTACTAGCCTGGGCCCCCTAGGCTCTGGTGTGTGAGGGGAATGTCTTTCTCCTTCACAGTTTGGGCCAAGTCATTGAGGGTTTTTCCTTTTGCTTCTCGCTTGTGTGTGGTCCCTGCCTGATTTTTCTGTGGGTCAGTGGCCCACGACCCAAAAACAGGTTCCCCACCCGTGGGTGTAAATGATGTAAGCATCAGGATCTAGTACTGGATACTGAATGTTTGCATTTCAGTTCAGTTAACATATGGGACATGTCTGAAAATAACCCCAATCCGCTTGGTTTATGGACACTGTCTGTTATAGGAATAACCCAATCCCCTCTTCCCTGAAAACAATCCCCACACGTTTGGTTTATGGATGCAGTATTATAAGAATAACTCTATCCCTTCTTCCCTGAAAACAATCCCCAAAGTTTGGTTTATGGATGCTGTATGCTATGGGAATAACCCGATCCCCTCTTCCCTGTATTGGTCCTAGGTGAAATAATTGGTTCCAAAATTGCCACGTTCCTTATTGTGAGCTTTATGCCAATATGTATGCCCCCCACACGGTATTTGGTATGGGTTAGCTGTAAGAATGTATTTGGTAGGGTTTATCTATAAGAAATAAAAGTCAGCTGTAAATTGTGTTCTTTTCATGAGCATTCTTACAGCAAAAAGTCTTGTGCTACCTCTATCTGGCCTGCGCATCCTCCTTTACATGCAACAAGTATAAGATTGTGAATTAAAATTAACCACCGCTGATTTATTAGTAAGGGAAGTCTACAGTCAATCTAACAACTTCCTTTCATTGAACGCTCACTGGACCAGGTGGGACCATTGCCCAGCCTGTTGAATTGCAGCGCTGTTGTTTCCACGCTGCCTGGTGGAATGGGGAGCGAGAATTAGCGGCGTGTTCAGCATTTGCTCCTCTTTTCGCGTAATGTCAGCGACGCAAGTAACGCGGACGGGTCTGCGAGGACCGTCCGGACGGAGAACAAAAAGCCAGGGAGGTGCAGGGTCCATGGAGCCCCCTTGCTGAACGAGAGGCGGCTGCGCGCCCGGCCCCCACTAGGGGGAGCCCAGAGCCGGCCGGAGGAGCGGCCGCGGGAGAGAGGCTAGGCACAGTCTGGGGAGGAAAACCCAGGGCTTTCCCCAGGGCAAGCGCTCGCTCAGGGGGTTCCGAGCAGCCTGCGGGGCTGCCCGTTTGCCCCACTGTAGGGCCCGGTGGGGAAGCGCAGAGCCCAAAGGGAGGAGAGGAGACGCGTGCGCTTGCCCCTCGTTGCGTAACGCTAACTTGGCGCCGCTGCCAGCGAACAAGCTACACGGCAGGCCCCTTGCCTGCCAGTCCCAGGCTGAGCAGGTAAGAGCCCCACCCTTCCCAGCACGCGGGGCCCCGCCGCGCCTCGGCTGCAACGAGTCTCCCGCCCCTGCTCCTTGGGCTGCCTTTGTGCTCCAGTGGTTCCGTGGCTGCAGGCGGGAGAGAGTCTCTAGTTCACCTGGCGGACGCTCCCGGAGGCTTTTCAGCACGGGACGTTACCGTGGGCGTTTCACATCGTAAATTCGTGTGGCAGCTGGCCTGGCAAAGTCAGTGTTCCCATGAGTTACGGTGACACTGGGGCCGGACAGGCCTCCTGCCGGAACCGCCTTCAAGTTACAGCTGGGCCTGACCTGCAGAGTGTACTCTTGGATCAGTTCACGGTTGGTGCTGCCTTTCCAGCCAAGGAGTCTGCTTTGGCTGTTTGGTTCTGGTCCACATCTACGTCTGATCAATCAGACAGGACCAGGGTAATTGCAGTTCTGTTGGCAAGATACAAAAAAAAGTCCATTTTTACTATATCCCTTCCTCCCCAAATTAGAGAAGTTTAAAAAAATTAGAGATGGGAAAGATCTTTTAGATTTTTTTTAAAAAAATCACGATATTCTTTTTCTATAGCAGCCAGCAGTATGTTAGACTCCAGTCCTGCAAAGGTGCTTGTGTTTAACATATGACTAGTCCCAATGAAATATAGGAAATCCTATTCCCAAGGCCAAGCATGTGGACATTAGCATTCTCAAGGCCTCACAGAGAAGCTGACAACACAGCATCTTAGAGTATGTTTACATTTAATTTGCTAAAGCAGTCCAGCTGGGCTCCCCATAGTAGCTTCACTGTAGAGTCTGACACGAGTTTTACCCTGCAGGAGCGATTCTTCTATTAGCACAGGTAGTATACTTCTCTGAGAGGAGGTAACTAGGTTGATGAGAAAATTCTTCTGTGGACCTAGTGCTGTCTCCACAGAGACTTATATTGCCTTAACTATGCTGCTAGGGGTATGGATTTTTCACACCCCTGTGTGATGTAGTTATGTTGATCTAATTTTCTCATTTAGATTTGTCATTAATCCTGATGAATTTACAGACAGTTCTGCTAAGATTTATGTACCTGCATGTTTTGTGTGGTGCACTATATAGTCAAATGTTAATCTGCACAGTGTGTTTGGAGACTCAAGGGTGGGGTTGGTGTGTAGGAGGGGGGATGGACTGCTGGCTTTGAGAGGTTGGGCAGTTTCCCTTGTTGTGACTTTTACAGTGCTAGTAGGGTGAGAAAAACATTTGACGAACAGGAAAATATGACTGTAAAATTTCTACATTTGTCAGCGTGACCCAGACAGATATAGCACCGAAACTAAGTTTGAATTGATTTTTTTGAAATGAGTTCAAATGATTTTACAGTGGAAAGCGTCCATTAAGAAAAAAAATATGCAAATGCTCTCAAATGGCGAGGGTTAAAATCCACTTTAACCCTTAGGATGCTGGCACTTGCCAGGTTTTGGGCACTTCCCCAAGCCGTGCAACCTTTGGGAAATTCAGTGGTCAAGTGTTACTGCATGCAATAGTGGCTTGTGCTGATGACTGCATACTACTTTCAGCAAGTGTTCCACTTGAATTCAAGCAGAAACCTCAGTGCTCTTGGTCTTGTGCTCATTCCCCTCTAAGGACTGCAGCAAATTGTATATATGTTAAAAAGTCTCAGAAGGATAGCAATATTAGTCTGTAACTTTAAAAACGAGTAGTCCTGTGGTACCTTAAAGACTAACAAGACTAACAAATAGCTTTTGTTGTCAAAACCTGCTTCTTCACTTGAAGTGGGTTTTGCCATGAAAGCTCATGATACTATATATATTTGTTAGACTTGTTAGTCTCTAGGCTACATCTAGAATACACGCCTTTTTCAAAAGAGGCTTTTTTGAAAGATAAAGATACTTTTTCGAAAGATAAGATACTTTCGAAAAAGCCGCTTTCGAAAAAGAGTGTCTAGACTACAACCAGTACTTTCGAAAAAGTAATCCTCTTTTTCGAAAGAGCGCACCCAAGCAGTCTGGATGCTTTCTTTTGAAAAAGCAGTTTGCATTACATAGTGCCTTTTTTTGAAAGAACACTTTCAAAAAAAGGCATTCTTTCTTGTAAAACGAGGTTTTCCACAGTTGAAAGAACTGCCGCGTTCTTTTGATTTACTTTCAGAAGAATGCAGCAGCAGTCTAGACGTAGGGAAATTTTTTTCAAAAAAAGGCCACTTTAAAAAAAAAAACAAAAACCCTGTAGTCTAGACACTCACTAGGGATACGTCTATATTGGCAAGATTTTGCGCAAATACTCTTTAACGCAAGTGTTTTTGCGTTAGAGTATTTGAGTAAGAGAGTGTCTACACTGACATGTGCCTTTGTGCAAAAGATGTGCTTTTGCGCAAGAGCATCTGTGCCAGTGTAGACGCGCTCTTGTGCAAGAAAGCTCCGATGGCCATTTTAAATATCGGGCTTTCTTGCGCAAGAAAGCCCGATATTTAAAATGGCCATCGGAGCTTTCTTGCACAAGAGCGCGTCTACACTGGCACAGATGCTCTTGCGCAAAAGCACATCTTTTGCACAAAGGCACATGTCAGTGTAGACACTCTCTTACTCAAATACTCTAACGCAAAAACACTTGCGTTAAAGAGTATTTGCGCAAAATCTTACCAATGTAGACGTAGCCTAAGAGAGTAGTTCTGTGGCACCTTAGAGACTAACAAATACATACATACATATATATGATCATGAGCTTCCATGGCAAAACCCACTTCTTCAAGTGAAGAAGTGTGTTTTGCCCACAAAAACTCATGATACTATATATATTTGCAGTCTCTAAGGTGCCATAGGACTACTTGTATATATGTGGCCATGGTTGACTTACATTAGCAATTCTGCTAATT